CAGCACAGCGGCTGCCAGGGAACTGCTTTTGTCTTTTATTTGGGTGATGATTATGGCTGTGTACTTGTGTAAATGTTGTGCTCGTCACCTCCTCTCTTTTCGATTTGTAGTGGAGAAAAATAACGCAAGAGGATCATGTAAGGATTAGAATGGTTAAATGTTGCTTAGCTGCCTTGAAGTGAAGTTTTGTGGATTTTTCCCTCTTTAAATATCATTTGTGCAGTTAGATTTGGGCATTAATCCTCTCATATCCTAACTTAATTTTTTTTTTTTTTTTTTGGTATTTTGAAATTGAACATGGGCCAGGCTTGGCGGGGTGCACAAGTAATCTCAGCAGGGGCAGGAGGCTGAGGCTGTAGATTTAAATGTTCGAGTCCAGGCTCTGCAATGTAGTAATTTAGCCAGACACTGTCTGCAAAGGAAAAAAACAAACTGAAGGTGGGGGTGTAGCTCAGTGCAGAGACTGCAGAGCCCTTGGGGGATGAGGGGGGGATTAAGTAGTACAGTAATGCGTTTTGTTGGGAAAGTTATACTTTTAAATGCCCTTTCGTCATGCAAGAGTCACTCAGTGACTTTAAATTCCCTTTGTTATCTTCAGGCTGTTTCGAGTTAATACGGTATAATCGTGTACTTTGTATTTTATTCAACCAAACATGGTCCTGACGTCCCGTGTGCCCTGTCGGGTCCCCATACACCTTCTTAACCCGGATTGAAACCAGGGAATTGGCAGGGAGCTGCATCCCAGTCCTTTTGTTCTTTTTTGAGACAGTTTTGCGAAGTCACTGAATAGCCCAGCCTGGGCTTGAATTTGCAATCCTCCTGCTTCAGACTCCTAGAGTGCTGGGATTACAGGCATGTGCCATCACACGTGACAGTCCTGATGCTTTTTATGAATTTGCCTTTAAAAGTTTGGTTTTATTTGCACTTAACACCCTGTTTGCTGCTAAGCCTCTTTTGAACCAATATTACATCCCTTCGGCATTTAAATTTATACATCCCTTTGGCATTTAAATTTATAAAGCAGTTTTGTACTCATTCTCTTTGCATTCAGTTAAATTTTGGTGTTGGTGATTTCACAATTTTTTTATGGAACGTTTTGTGCCAATTTCAATTTGCAGGTGAAAATATTAACAGATTGGGCGCATTTCATAATTGCAAATACATTAGAGAGAGAGAGAGAGGGAGAGAGAATGAGAGAGGGAGAGATGAGATGTTCTGCGGCTTGAACATAGTGCTTTTTCATTGAACTACTGCCCCCTTTTTTTGTTCCCCTTTGGTCTTTTTACAACAGGGTCTCACTATACAATGCCGTTCAGGCTGGCCTTGAGCTCACTTCGTAGCCCTGGCTGGCCTCAAACTCACAAGGATCCTCCTGCCTCAGCCTTCTGAGTGCTGGGATTACAGGCTTGTGCCACCACGCCTGGCCTTTCTTTTTTGTTTTTTAATTTTTAATTTTTTTATTTTGAGAAAGGGTCTTGCTAAATTGGCCAGGCTGGGTTCCTATGTGCATAGGATCCTCTGGCACTCAGCCTCCCAGACTGCTGGGATTACAGGTTTGCTTCACCATTCCTGGTTTATTTGGTAAGATTTTAATGTCTAAATTCTGACATTATCTCCTTCATAAATTTCCCTAAATGAAATCATTTTGGAGGATTCTTAATTTTAAAATGCAAAATTTAGTCATATGGTTGTGTGTCATTGGCTGCCGTTTAACAGACTTTGGACTTTTATTTCCCCGAGAAACTGTGTAATTGGGGTCCTTTGCATGAGCTTCATGTAAACAAAGTTTTGTGTTACCTTCACTTTACAAATAAGGAAAAAGAATTTCTTAATTGAAATAAGCATTGTGATATTTTTGAGGTTAAAAAAAAGACCCTGGCATATTGTCAGTATGCCTGAACGCACTTGTTTTAAGCCCACAAGTGCTACAATATTGCCGATCACCAGCGAATGCAGTCTTTTAGCATTTTCCATCTCCCCACCGTTCAGGGTTGAGTGTTGCATATTGTGTTATTCAATTCTGCTCCTGGTCTTTTACATACAATTCTTGTTCTTTCTTTTTTTGGAAACCGTGGCACATTTTTGTGTACGGAAAAAGAAATGAACTGTAAGACTGAACACTTGGTGTTCTCCGGCAGCGAAATGCCCTCAGAGTTCGCGTTGATAGACTTAGGACGGCTTTGTGCCTTAGCGTCGCGAGAGCTGCGGGCTTAGGCTCGCACGCGGCCACAGGCACGCACGTGGCTACGCACGCAGCCACGCACGCAGTCACGCACGCGGCCCCGCTCGCTGGGGAGCACACCGGGGTCACAGCGGCCATTTTAGGTCTGCCGGTGACCGTGACGGGACGGTGGCGGTGACGGCCGGCCCTTTTCACCCCGACTGCGTGACACCTATTGTGTAGTCAAGGAGGGGGGTGCAATTAGAACGCTTGTCTCTGGGAAACCAGAGCGCCATGATAACTGAGACGAACCGGATTCTTCTTGAGGTAAGATAGGAATAGTTCGCTTTTAAAATGGTGCTCGTTGAATTCCGTTAGTAGACTTTTTTTTCATGTATTCTTGAGTTCGAGTTGAATTACTTATACTGTTTAGTATCTAAATGATTTATTGATATCTTTATTGGTGGAACATTACTTTATTATTTAAATATTATCCTCTTGGATTAAATTAGAAATGTCGGCTGTTGCCGAGTGCGGTGGCAAAGACCTGTAATCCCAGGCTGAGAGACAGGAGGGTCCTCGTGACTTCGACGCCCGCCTGGGCTACATAGTGAGTTCAAGGCCAGCCTGCACTACTCTGGGAGACTCTGTCTCAAGACAATACATATAAATATCTATATCTATCGTTTTTTTGTGTGTGGGGGGGGTCTTTTTGAGACAGGGTGTCGCTATGCAGTTCAGGCCGGCTGGACTTGAGCTCACTTTGAGGCATGGGCTTGTCTTGAACTTGCAGTGATCTTCCTGCCTCAGCCTCCTTAGTGCTGGGATTACAAGCGTGCGCCAGCACGCCTGGCTATATATTATTTTTAAGACAGCCTCGATGAGTATAGGGCATCCTTAATGTAATGTGAAGTGACAGGTGTTTTGTCCTGTCTCTGGCGGCATAAAGATAGCATTGAAACCGCTTCCCCGCGACTCCAGAGATCTACATTACCAGCAGTGGCAGTCAACCCTGGGCAGTTCTGACTAATTCTGTGACAAAGACCTTAGTAAAGCTTATTCCCCTAATTAATAAGCAGAGGCGTCTTTTTCTAGTCCTTGCTTGTGCTCCTCTTATATACTGCAGGTGCCACTGTGAAAACCGCATTGCCATAATTAGACTGTTTTGACTTCAATGAGAACTAACTTCGACTTTTTAACACCAGATATTT